TGCAAATCACCCCCTGTGCAACACCACGTTTTAAAATGAAACTGTGGAGAAAGATGGGTCTTCCCAAAACCAAACCTCCATTATCATCTTACTCCTCGCAAGAGCTGCTCTCTTTGTCTCTCCAGTGACTACAGAAGGCATCCAGGATGATCAGCTTGCCTTAATCATGGGCAAACCCATGAAACAGATACCTCCAGGCCTCTCATCAGCTCCTTTTTAACGGGGCACGTCACCCTCTGAAGAATGCTGACCAAATAGCTCAACCTGAACTTCCCAGTTTCCTACCGTGGGTATTAACTACCCTGAAACAGGAATTCATCTACCTTGTGTATCACACCATAACTGAGGTGATTCTAGAGCTGCTTTATGAACCAGTCACCCCAGCTACTGCAGCCAACTCCTGTGGGTACAACAGACAGCTGTGTCAGCCGTCCTGTTTTAATCCACCACACATTTGAGTCAACTTCCTAAAATTAGACCCTGAGACTATTCCTCCTCTTCTCCTCAAACTACCCAGCTTTCACGTACAGGAGACATTAGTTATGTACTGCAATTATCCAATTCTCTGGCTCCTTCTCCACTGCAAAGAGGTTTGAATAACTTTTCTTTGCTAAGGGCCGAGAACAATGAGAGGCTTAAAAGTCACGTTTTCTCTTGCAAATCAAAGTTACTCAAAACTCAGTGTGAAGTTGCAAGTTCATCTTGTACACTGTTGTCTCAGGCTGCCCCATCCCTGGAAGTGTCCAAGGCCAGGTTGGATGGGGCTTGGAGCAACCTGGGCTAGTGGAAGGTGTTCCTGCCCATGGCAGGGGGTGGAACAAGATGGGCTTTAAGGTCCCTTCCAACTCCAAGCATTCCATGACTCCATGATTCTAGATAAATGGAGAGAGAGGGAAGGACTGTGGCAGGTCTACTCTATACTCAACCTAATTTTTCCCTTGTTCTTCTCTGGTTTCTCATTAGTCCACCTTGGTAACAGCAGAAAGGCTCAGAAATGGAAAACCACAACATCTCTCCACCTGGATTTTATCTGGACATTCATACAGAAATCAGTGATTTTGGTCAACAATCTTCTGAGCAAGAACATCAACAGTTTTATGTCCATAACTTTAAAGAAAGAAGAATCCCACTTTGTCAGCTATTGAATTTGTCTGTAATCACTCAAAATGCAGATTCTACACTATCTGTCCCTTCCCAGTTTTGGTTCTCAGCTGGTTGATCCCACTGACTCACCGGTGTAGCACCAGGAAGCGGCTTTCCATTGATTTTGTGTAAACATTTCTCTGCAGTAGCTAGATCTGCAAATTCTACAAAGCAATAGCCTGCTGGAATTCTGAACATACAACACAGGAGAGAAGAGACAAAGGTTATGCATTAAAAACACATTCGAGGAGGAATTTTGTATTTTAGATAACTGGTAGGAAATTTGTTATCGTTGCAATACTTAGAACAGTTTCTTTTAAAAAGTATATACATTAGCTACCAAAAAAGAGGTAGAAATTCTGGATCTCAAGTAAAGGGATAGCCCCTACTTACCATAAATCATAAGCACACACAAAATGGTTTTGCTCACAGTTTACTTCCTACTTTCACTGACCATCAATTTTTCCACCCAAGTTTAAACATCTGAAAACTGAAATTACAACACTTAAAAGAATAATGAATCAGAATGAAACTACTTTATTCTGTGTCCAGTCACTCATTTTATCCCAAATGAACTCAAAAGGGTCTCCTATTGCTCCAAGTCAGACTTCCCACCTCTGCCAGCATCATGTAGCTGCACTACAGACTAGTCACCAAAGCCTTCAGCTGGGAGCTGCAATTCCCAGAGGGATGGAATGGGATACATACACTGCTCTGACTGAGTGCTGGAGCACTTCAGGATGAGGGCCAAGCCTTGTTTGTTGAGGGGAGGCTGAAGAGCCAGCAGTGCCCTCTCCATTGCTCTCATCAATATTCCCATATTGGTGGCAGCAATGGTAAAAAGCTCAAAGGGAAAATCACTCTGAGAAGGAAGGACCACGGTGAGGCTCCAATCCAAATGCACTGGGAGAACAAACATAAACAGTTACCCTGTCAACCTGTTTCGAATGATTTTTACACTCAGTACAAGCTCTCCCATGGTGGCAAAGGCTCTTGAAACAAAGTTTTCATCCATATAGGGCTCCAGCTATAAAAGCAAAAAAAAAAAAAAAGAAAAGAAAAAAGTTAGATCAGGGCATCTACAAAAAAGAGAATTTATGTGTCAATGTCCCCCTAAGCAGTTAAAACATTATTGAGAAGGATTTTACCCTTACACTTCAAAAAGAAGACTCATTTAAGAGGGTCGATGCCACTCAAAACCAGCAGGCATGCATGAACCAGGCTCAACAGTCTGCAAAGTGGAACCCAAGAGACAGCATGAATTTCAGAGAACAGGGAGCTTCACAGAAGGACAAAAGCCACTCAGAAACAAACAGCAACAAAACTGAGCGTTCGCTACAGGGAGCGGGGGAGAAGGAGGTGCTGGGCTCCTTCTCTGGGCCAGCGCTGTGGGGACACAGGCGTGGCACGGCCCTGGGTGGCATGAGGCAGGTGACACGGCCCCCCTGGAGCCGAGGCAGGGGGCTGCAGAGCTGTGTCTGCCTCGCACAACCCCGGAGATACCGGGGCAGCGCTCGGGGGGGAGCCCTGGGGTCGCGTCCCGCTTCGTCCTGCCCGTGGGAGCACTGACCGCGCCGCGTCGCAGGGGAGGGTGGCACTGTGCAGGGCAGGGGGTGTGCGGGGCCGTGAACACGCTGGAGAGCAGTGTCTGTGTGGTGTAAATGACTGACAAGTACGACACAGTGCTGGAGCTTGAACTAAATGCACGGTGAAGGGCCTGAGGGAACGGGGCACCCCTCTGTGTAAGCGAAAGTGGAGGAGGGAACTAACAGAAATTAAGGGTTTTTTTGATGGGGAGCACTGTGTGTAACACAGAGCTGTAAAATATATATAGGAAATATATCTAGCTCCATGTATGTAAGTACACACACCTCTGTGAGTAAGACGGGTGGGCCTGTGGTAACCGACAGCCCTCGAGCATGTCTGTGTGTCAGTCAGGTGCCAGGTGACAGAATGTGCCAGGTGTGAAAGTGGTGGCCACGCTGCACTCACGTGTGTAAGAGGCAGCAGATGCCCTGTGGGGGCAAGTGTGAAGCAGACCCGGCTCCGTCACATGTGCCAGAGGAGCAGGAGGCAGCACCACTCTGTGCACAGACCTGCCGGGTGATCCCGGGGGGAGTGTAAAGGAAAGCTGGAGTTGTAAAGGCAACAGGTTGCTTGGATATGGCTGTCTGTGAATCAAAGAGAATCCTGCTTGTGAGAGGGGTGATGAAAAAGAAGAGGGGCTTATGGAGAGGTGGCAGATAACCCTCTGTGTGGGGGGAAGAAAAAAAGAGCAGACTCCATGGGGTCTGCTTGCATGAGCAGAGGCAGTGGAGGACCCCTGATGTGTCATATAAGTGTGCAATGCCGTGGCAAAGTGGGTGTGCTGTGTGTGTGTGTGTGAGAGGAGCCTCCAGTGGGATCCTCAGGGATAAGGCACACTGTGGGCTGTGTATCTCTGTGAGTGTGCCCACGGCGTGCGGGTGAACAGGCACCCCTGGGTGAAGAAGCATCCCTGAGTGTGCTTCTCACAGGTGCTTCTTCCTGCCAGGTGCACACAGAGGCAGGAATGAGGGAAATCCTGGGGTGTGGGACTGCTCGTGAGTGTGTGTTCACGTAGGAGAGTGTAAATGCCTGTGAGGGTGTGAATGCACCCATGGGTGTGCATGGGGGGGGCAGGTTGTGAGGGATAATCCTGGAGAGGTGTGTACAAATACACGAGTGCCTACAAGCATGAGTGTGTGTAAGTGCCTCAGAGCACACGAGCACGTAAGTGCCTATAAGCAGGTGAGCAGATAAACCAGCATATAAATCCTTGAGGCATGCAAGGGTACAGGCTGTGAGTGTGGGGGTGTGTAACTGCCTCTTAGAGCATGAAAGTGGGAGACCTGTCAGTGCCTGCCCGCCAGGGACACTGGTGCAAGTGCCACGAGTGTGGCTGTGACCCGGCTGTGGGCAGGACACGAAGGTCACCCTGAAGGAGGGGTGTGTGTGTGTGTGTGTGAACTGTGTTCGTGTGTGTGAACTGCCCACAAATGTGCCTGTTGGGCTGGGGGTTGTGTCTGTGAGTGTGTGTGTATCTGCCTGTGTGAGTGTGCCAGCGTGCACAGAAGAGTGTGTGTGAGGGGAGTGTCAGTCAGTTTGGGAGTTTATGGTGTGTCTGAGTGTGTGAGGGGCTGTCAGGGTGTGTCAGTGCGGGGGTGTCAGCGGTGTGAGGGTGTCAGTCAGTTGGGTGGTGTGAAGGTACCAGATGCTTGGTGTGAGGGTGCCAGTCAGAGTGAGAGTACAGGCAGTGTGAGGGTGTCAGTTGGTGCGTCATACAGTCAGTGTGAGGGTGTCAATTGGTGTAAAGGTGTCAGTCAGTTGGTGTGAGGGTGCCAGTCAGAGTGAGAGTGTCAGCAGTGTGAGGGTGTTAGTCAGCTGCTGTGAGTGTCAGACAGTCAATGTGAGGGTGTCAGTCGGTGTGAGGGTGTCAGTCAGTCGGTCAGAGCGAGGGTGTCAGTTGGTGTGAGGGTGTTAGTCAGCGTGGGGGTGTCAGTCGGTTGGTGTGAGGGCACCAGAGTGAGAGTGTCAGCAGTGTGAGGGTGTCAGTCAGTCAGGCAGAGTGAGGGTGTCAGTGGTGTGAGGATGTCAGTAGTGTGAGGGTGTCTGTCAGTTGGTCAGTGTGAGGGTGTCAGAGTGAGAGTGTCAATCAGTGCCAGGGTGTCTGTCAGTCAGTGTGAGGGTGTCAGTGGTGTGAGGGTGCCAGAGTGAGGGTGCCAATCAGTGTCAGGGTGTCAATCAGTGTCCGGGTGTCTGTCAGGCAGTGGTGTGAGGGTGTCAGACTAAAGGTGCCAGTCAGTGTGAGGGTGTCGGTGGTGTGAAGGTATCAGCCGGCCGGTGTGAGGGTGTCAAGAGTGAATATGCCAATCAGTGCCAGGGTGTCAGCGGTGTGAGGGTGCCAGAGTGAGGGTGTCAGTCAGTGCCAGGGTGTCAGCGGTGTGAGGGTGCCAGAGTGAGGGTGTCAGTCAGTCAGTGTGAGGGGGCCAGACTGAGGGTGTCAGTCAGTGTCAGGGTGTCAGCGGTGTGAGGGTGCCAGAGTGAGGGTGTCAGTCAGTCAGTGTGAGGGGGCCAGACTGAGGGTGTCAGTCAGTGTCAGGGTGGCAGTGGCGTGAGGGTGTCAGAGTGAAGATGCCAATCAGTGCCAAGGCTGTCAGTCAGTCAGCGGTGTGAGGGTGTCAGCCAGCGCTGTGAGGTGCCAGTCAGTGACGGTACCAGGCGGTCAGTGCCCCCCGCGCTCCCCCGGCCCCGCCGCGCTCCCGCCGCCCCCCGCCCTCCCCTCACAAAGCCGCGCGGTCCCGGCCGGACACTCACGTCCCCCATCCACAGGCTGGCGGCCATGCTGCTCCCGCAGGCCCCGCGGCGGGTTCAGCGGGGCCGCGCGTTCCGCCTCCCGGCCCGGCCCCGCCGCTGCCGCCGCCGTCCCTCCCTCCGCCCCACCCCCGGTCCCTCCGTGCCCCGGGCCCTCCCCCGGTCCCGCCCGGCCCGGCCCGGCCCGGCCCCGCCGCCTCCTCCGCGGCCCCGGGCGGGCGGAGAGAGCGGCGCCCCCGCCGCCGCAGCGACCCCTGCGGGCAGGAGGAGCGAGCGCCGCGGGAGCGAGGGCGTGTGAGGGGAGCGGGGCCGGGCGGGTCTGGGGTGACCTGGGGAGGGGTTCGGGGTAACTTGAGGAGGTTTGAGATGATTCGAGAGGGGTTTGGGGCTCCTCAGGGAGAGTCTGGGGGAACTTGAAGAGCGTTTGGGGAGATCTGAGGAGGGTTCGAGGTGATTTGAGGGGGGGTTTGGGGCTCCTTAGGGAGGGTTTGGGGGAGCTTGAGGGTCTGGGTAATTTGAGAAAGGTTTGGGGTGGTTTGAGGAGGGTTGGGGGCTCCTTGAGGAGGATGTGGGGAAACTTGAAGAGGGTTCGGGGTGACTTTAGGAATGTTTGAGGTGATTTGATGCGGGTTTGGAGACACTTGAAGAGGGTTTGGGGCTCCTTGAGGAGGGTTTGAGGCAACTACAACCACCTGAAGGAAGGTTTTAGTGAGGTGGGGACCTGTCTCCTCTACAGTATCTGCAGTGACAAGAGGCAATGGCCTCAAGCTGAGACAGGGGAGGTTCAGATTAGATATTAGAAAAAATCACAGAATATTCTGCACTGGAAGGGACACAGAAGGATCATCCAGTCCAACCCCTGTCCGTGCACAGGGCACCCCAACAATCCCACCCTGTCCCTCAGAGCGTTGTCCAAACCCTCCTGGAGCTCTGGCAGCCTTGGGGCTGTGCCCACTGCCCTGGGGAGCCTGGGCAGTGCCCAACCAGCCTCTGGGGGAAGAACCTTTCCCTAAAACCCAACCTAACCCTCCCCTGACACAGCTCCATGCTGTGGCAAGGCCAAAGACTGAGCGTGGGGGTTTTTTTGTGACGATGAAGTTTGGCAGAGGCCAAAATCCCGGCTCCCCTCCGTCCAACTGGGCAGAAGATGAATCAGAAGCCCTGAAACCCAAACTGGGGCTCTGAGCTTGGACCGCTGCCTGCTCACAGAGACAGGACATCCATCCTCGGGGTCATCAGCCCAGCACGTGGGGTTGGATCTGGGTATGGTGTGATCCTCCCTCCTCTCCTGTTCACTCCCGCAGGCCTTTGACAGCAAGGGTGGCAATTCCTGGAAGAAATGAGCCCCCTCGTTATGATGGAGCAGAGCCGAGTCCTCCTGGGCTGCTCTCGGCAGAGCTGGTTGGCATTTTGGGATCACCCGCTCCTGGTCATGGGAGCTGTGCTGTGTGAGCCCCGTGCCCTCTTAGGGAATGCCGGGCTGTGATTGTGCACGCCATAAATCCAGCTGGCGATGACAGGGACACTCCAAACCCTCCGCGTTATTTTTGCCTCCGTAGCTCAGGCTCCGGGCGATCCCGGGCTGTGGCTCCAGCGTTCCCGTCCCATGAGAGGGCAGCACGAGCCCGCCGGTGTCGGGTACGGGTTTTTAGGTGCTGAAATTGGGCAGCATCAATTCTGAAACTCCTTCGGAAGCGATGTGAGTGTGTCTGCTTAAACCTTGCCCCGGAGCGTCCCCATTCCGGTGACTGATGTGTGAAACCAACCAGGAGTGGTTTTCCCTGCAGATAAAAAGTGTGGTGAACATCGATCCTTCCTACATTCCTGCAGGAGACTGTGGAAATCCTTCATCCTCATGCTGAGCAGGGTCTGCAGCTCTCATCATGCTGCAGCATGGCCAGGACTGATTGCTCTGCAACATCAACTCTTGGGCGTGCAAGACATAAGATTAAAAACATATTGATTTATTTTCTGATTTTTGAGTCCCTAGAGCACGCTCAGGTTGTTTTTCCAAGCTCTTCTCTAAAGCGTTGTAAAATCTGGCATGAAATCAGACAGCCAGCAAGACCCACAGCTGACAACTCAGCTGAATAAAGATGTTGGGTTGTCAAGTAGCACTTTCTGTGCCTCGATGTCACTGGCAATGTGGTCTCTTGCAAATTCACCCTCAGAAGTCCCTGCTGAGTCTGCCTTTCAAGTGTCAGCTCCCAGGATGTTTTTTTCCTCCCAGCATGGCCATTTATCCACTGGTTAGCCCCAAGCTCTGCTCTGCAGAGCCCACAAAGCTGTCACTCATCCTCTGTTATTACTTACAACTGCTCAAAGCCAGTAGTTTGTTCTTTGTCATTTAATGAAGTGAGTCCAGTGCCTTTAATAACCCCTTTCTATTTTTCCTTCCAGCTGAGTAATACAGAACTTGCTTTTCCTGGGATAATCCATGGAGATGGATGTTGGGCAAGGAAAATGCAGAAGGAAGCCAGGATCATGTGAATGTGTTGGACCAGGAGAAAATAAGAAGTTTGTATTCAGTGTTTATCTGAAGTGATTGCTATTTATGCACCTAACCTTGTGACAGAGCAAAAACACTGCCAGAAGAATGTTATTACCTGAAAAGCTGTTTATTCCCCCAGATTCATGAACCTGCAAAGAGGCCCTAAAAGGAAGATGTGGGGGTTCCTCTGTCCTATGTGTGGGTGTCAGCAGCCAAACCATGTGTCCCCTGTTCCCTCTGCTGGGACAGCAGGGATTTCTGGGTCTAGGAACTTGATCCTGAAAACTGCTGAGTAAACTCCAGTTGGTGTTTACTGGAACCCACTGGAGGGGTGATCCCTGAACCCATTTTTTAGCTGGTCACTGGGAGCTTTAGCCTGTTGAAGGGCCCGATCCTGGGAGCTTCAGGGCTCTTTAATCCTCAGTAACTTTGATTGGAGTTAAGGGTCACTCAGTACCTCCTGGGAGGAGGCCCTGAGTGGTCTCAGCTTTTAAAGTTAATGGTTTTGAGCGTGAGAATCTGGCCTGGGAGTTTTTAATTTGACTTTGCTGTTTTTATCTTCAGCTTGAAACTGTCTCAAATGGTTTTTGTGCCCTCAGTACTGAATGTTACTTTGTTAGAGCCTTCCCTGTTGTTGGTCTTACAGGTGCCAAGTCCATCCCTTGTCTTAGGCAACTGTAGCCAATGGGCTGAGATCAGGGATGACTTTGGCCAGGGATAAATGACATAATAAATAAAATTTGAAAAAAAAAATTATATATAAATCAAAAGTTTGAGTTTGGAATAGCTTCTGAGATTCTGAAAGTAATTGAAGCAATCCAGGAGAAAATATGCCATGAAATCTGTTTTCCATTATTGCATGAGATGGTATGTCTTAAAATTTGATCAAACCCATTTTTTTTATACGATGAAGACAATGCAGCTCAAAGTGATGTGGAGATCTGGGGTCGTTTTCAGTGTGGTATTTGTAAATTATTGTAGACTTGACATTCTTATTCATTTATTTGATAAGATTTGCTTTTCCTATTGTGGTCTCACAGCAAACAATTTCTGACTGAGTGGTATTTTTGAAAGAAGTGGTAGTAGAAGCTCATTATTGATACATTTGTGCCTGCTAGCTTTCTTATCCAGACCAAGTCTGTTGTATAACAACACAGTGCAGTGGGAGAGACCTGATGGCCTCTCTTGCCTTGTATTTAAGAAAAAGTGAAGTCACTTCTGTGACAGTCCCATGTTCATATTCCCCTGTGGGGGGGGAATATTTCCTCTGGCAAAACCAAGACCAAACAGGACAAGGACACTCCATTCCTGTTGCTTTAAAGGAATATATTTCCAGCTTGAGTGGCTTCTGAGCTCGGTAGCTGTGAGCAACAACACACAGAGTCCAGTGTGGGGAATAACTACACACATCAGTGAGCAAGAGGGGCCAGAGGAGTTTTTTGCCAGGGCTGTCAGTTCTCCCCTTTAGGAGCAGATGTGCTCCCCTTGCTGCTTTTGCATTCCTATTCCCACACCATCGGTCAATCCCTGTGCCTCTGTAGTTTTTATCCACTTCATATCTTTCCTGAGGGATGTCCTTACTCCCTCCTCAGAGGGAATTTGCTTTGGAGGCTTCATCCATCCCCACAGGGATCAGATCATAGGCTGACGTATCTCACGAAGCCACGAGTCAACCGAGGTCCATCTCAGACTGTGGATGTAATTTAGGGTCAAAAGGAAGCCTGTTTCTTGTTTTCTCCCTTGGTAATACAGGGAATTCACCCTCAGAGAATTTATGAACATGTCAGTTGGTCAAATAAGAGTGTTCTGGATATTTGCAGGAATAATTTACTACCTGGCAGGGCTCGTTTGTTTGCATCCTCCATAGGGATCCCGTGGGACAGACTTAATCCTGGGCCTGGATATTTGATTGAGGACAGCTCTTGGGGTATCTGCTGGGATGTTTGTAGTCCACAGACAGTCAGCTGTGGGATGTTTTAAGGTAAAATAAATATATATGAGCTTTTCCACCCCATCAATGAGGATCTGTGTAACTCCCAAACTGTTCAGCTCATGGCTCAGTGCAAACACTTCTGATGTTGCTGAAAACAAGCCCCAGTCTGCTCAAATTGATTTTAAAGGCAACAGAAAACCCAAGAGGTCGTGCAAGTGCCTTGTTTGATCAGAGCCAGCACAGGGGAAGGCACGGCACAAGGCTGGCAGGGAAAGAGGGGAAGCTGGAGGCTGAGAGCTGATGGATTCATCAGGGCATCCCTGTTGGATACAGCAGGGCTGAAAGGTGGCAGTACCAGCTGATGAGTTTTTACTGCAGCAGCCTGTACAAATCTCTGCTGCACCCCCAGCACTCAGGTGGGCACGTGTGTGTGTGTGGAGCAGTGCAGGACATGTGGGAGAAGGGCTGCTCTTCACTTTATGCTTCTAATCCAAGCACTTCAAACAGGTACCTGCAGTTAAGGGGCTAAATCAGGGTTTGTTTCTCTAAATACCTCTTGTAAAATGCAGTTAAAGACACTTCCTATGAGTTCCAGTCTTACCAAGCCCCAAGCAGCTTGTTAAGTGTTCAGTTTATTCTTCACTGAGTGTGTCTTTTGCCCTCTGCAAA